GCTGAAGTTGGGGGTGATAGAACCATCACGCAGCCCGTGGTCCAGCCCAATCGTGATGGTCCCGAAACCGGACGGCACCCTCCGCTTCTGCAATGACTTCCACTGCCTCAACGAGGTATCTGAGTTCGACGGATACCCAGATCTGGGCAGCTTTCGCAGGTCTGTCAGGGGTCACTTCCCACCCACCCCCTATCTCTCCCCTCCCATCTCATATCGTTAACAGGACCAGAACGACGCTTGGGGGGGTGAGTGTGACGAGCGTCCCGAGGCTTCATCAGCGTCGCCCTGGAAACAAGCGAGGAGCACCTGGCCATCATCATCACAGGCTGATCGGTCACAGCTGCACCTCATCAGGCAGCGGCTACATAAGCCACGGAAGCCCTGCCATCTAGGAGATTCCTCCATGAGACTGAGCACTAACTCGCCGTCTCATTTTCCCCACAGAAAGCAGCGTGTGACCGACCAGCCCACAGGAGCACTGCACGGACCCTCTGCACTGGGAAGACGGAAGAGAGCACTCACGGCACCGGAGCACCTACCTGGACCTTTCTCACGAGCACCCCTCACCCCAATAAATCCACCCTCCGGGGTATTGATTGAGATTTCTTGTCGTGTGATTCTTCACCCCGTTACAATACATATGTGCTGTGTTTCAGAGTGAAACATGGCACTGTGTTCTTACACGTGAGCAGCTCATTATCAGCCAGTGTTTACAGCATCTTAGAGCAGCTCTGTTCTGCACAAACTCTATCCTTTGCATCTGCTCTGAGTTTGGGTTCCTTTAACCTCATTTAGTAATACAATAAACGCCATCCATCTTCCCATACTTGAAGCACTTTTCAACTAAAGAGAAGCTTTAAGGGCTCTATTCTATTTTCCGTCAAAATAAAAGTTTGACAGTTTAATTATTTAAAATGAAGTCGTAAAGTATATTAGTATTGTAATTTTACAATTATAATGTAAAATAAATTAAAGTATTTTATATTAGTAAAATTATATATTAAAGTTATATATTATTTTTCTTAAAACTACATTTTATTGTACATTGAAATATAACAATAGTAACACTTGTTTTTATTTTGTAATTTTTATTTAGTAATATAGCTGCAAGCAGTGATACAGGGCCAAGGAGCTGTAGGGCTGTAGCACAGTGCAGAGCAGGAAGAGCAAAAACAGCAGCATTTGAATGAACATGAAATACAGCCGGTTCAGAATTATAGGTGAGAATGAACTCAGAATGAACAGAAGTTCAAATGAAAATGAACAGCACGAATAAAAAAATATTTATTTATAATCCAAGAGGAATAAAGATTATTCAGTGCTGATCTGGATAATAAAGTAATCAAAATGACACAACATTACACATTTTATAATGTTGCACCACACAAGAATCGAACCCACAATCTCCAGGTCAAGTACCCGTCACCCATCTTGTTGCGCCACTGAGAATATGAGTGTTCAGAAGTTCAACCGAGAATCAATTCAAAGTAATGAATTTGTACATACATGCACTGCAGGTCGTATTTAATAGATTCAGATGAGATCATCCGTGGAAAGGCACAATGCCTGCAACAGAAGCAACTTCTGCAAATTCTGCATCATTTCTTGCCACAGTACTTCTGGCGTTCTGGGCATGTGTGAGTTTTGAAACCACAACATAAAGCACTCAGGATCTGTGGTGTAACACACTGAGCTAGTTGCTCATGCACGTTCAGCAGGCTGCTGAGAAGAGGTTTCAGTGTGAGAATGAGCTCACAAAAAAAGTAACCTGATTAGCATGCAAAGCTGACATAACACTAACGTAGCTTATGGTTAACTTGATAGCTTAACATTAGCCACATTAGACAGTATGGTAACTGATTAGCCTGCTAGCCAACTAGCATGCTAAGCTAACTAAAATAAGACAACAAACACAGGCATGATCAAATACAGAGAGATATTTCTTGGGAACAGAAGCTAATATCAAAAATCCATTCAGTCATTTCTATGCGTCTTGGTCCAAACATCATCTGATCAGATTTTGGACAGAATTGGACACAATTTGTAGGAGGAGTAGCGAAAAATTTTTTTTTATTTACTTCAATAAGATATTGTCAGAATCAGAATAACCCAGGAAATAAAAGGATACAAAAATAATAAAAACTGGACAATCTATTCTGCTCCCCGGGAACCGCAGCAATATGGCTGCTCACTGCTCGGGGTGTGTGTTCACGGTGTGAGTGTGTTCACTACTTTGTGTGTGCACTTGGATGGGTTAAATGCAGAGCACAAATTCCGAGTATGGGTCATCATACTTGGCCACACGTCACTTAACTTTAAATTTTTAAATCACATTTAAAATCACAATCCCAATTTTTATCAGGAAGGGAGGGGGGAAAACGCAATGAAATGGAAATCTTACAACTGGTTCTATAACATACCTTAAACTTTCCATAAGATTCTTTCTTTCTCTCCATGTGTGTTAGCTGAAGTCTCAGTACTGAATGGAACTCATGAAGGTATTATTGTGATGAATAAATCTTAGCGTTGCAGAAAACTCATCAGACCACACACTCCATTATCAGGCAAACATTGATAAATCCCCTGCAGTGAAGCTGCTCCTCTGCCCTGTGAAGAGAAAAGGCCTCGCTTTATCAAAGACTGACACCTCATCGTGGGTGAGTCACACGGAGGATAATTAGAAACATGGAGCCAAAGGAGTGAAAGCAGTGCAAAGGCCAGAGCCGTTGCAGTGGGAGAGAGCAGGACTGATCCGGACAAAACTCAATACTCACAGACTGATACAGCGCACAGCTTCATTTCACATGCTCACATATTCATAATCCAGCCTGCACAACACACATTACTCTGGTCTTTCTCACATTACATCCTGTCTTGGCTTTGAGAGGAAGATTTTGACAGACCATTATCCGACAGTCAGCAAAACGTCAAAATGTCTGGTAACATTTGTTTTATGTGAAGTGATGCTGGAAATTCAGCCAGGTCAGATTAGAGATTCTTTTAGACACAAAAAATTCAGCATAAAGCAAACTAGAGGCTTCTGCAGCCAACAGTGTTTACAGCGTTATATAATAGACAGTGAAGTGCAGTTGTGAAAGCAAGCTGTAAGAGCATTCTTACCAAATGTAAGTTGTCTATATATGTGTATGTATATTCTGTCTATGTACAGAGATGGCTAATTGGAAAAGGGCTTCGGGCCTTACAGGATCAGCTTCTTCATGATGTGTGCATTTGAAATGTCTTGACCTAGTGTCCCTGTAAAGCATCACTGAGTTTACCAGAATCTCTCTCGGTCTTCAAAAAGTAGGCACTTAAAACAGGTAAGAATTACTCTAGCACTTAATCTTTCCTGAAAAGGTGATCTCTACATCTCTGTACTAACTTTTCTGGAACTTCGTATTGCATACACTGTAAAAAATGACCAGGTATATTAACAGTATATCAGTTAATGAAATTACGGTATTTAACTACATTTAAGTTAAAACCGTAAAACCTAAAACGTTGCTACCGTATTTTTTACGGTAAATTTTTTACGGTAAATTTACGGATTTTTTTTTACAGTGTAGTTCCTCTAAGATTAACTGCTTTTGTTGTGGTATTCCTCATTTGTAAGTTGCTTTGGAAAAAGTTGTGAATGATTACGTTGCTGATAAAATGATGTGAAAAAAAGATACATCTTAAAGAAATAGTTCATCCAAAAATTAAAAATCTGTCATTTACTTACCCTCATGTCATTCCAAACACATAAGACTTTGATTAATCTTCAAAATACAGAAAAATTTATTTTTAATATTTATTAACATGATTTGTGTCCCTCCATTGAACGTCCAGGTAACCAAAACTCAGAAGGCATTGTAAAATGAATCCATACTAATCAAGCAGTTTAATCCAAGTCTTGTGAAGAGATACAAATGCTTTATATGATTAACATTTAATTTAGTCTTTTATTCACATAAAAACACAGTGCATCACATATGGTAAACAATATACACCAATATATACCATTATATGGGAAAGAATAAAAACTTGTGCAAGCATCACGCGCTACAATAACCCTAATTGTTTCTCATGCATCACATACGCATATTTAAACTTCCCTGTTTACCATATGTGATGTACTCGGTGTATGTGCATTGATCATTGTTTACAAGTTAAAAAAAAAAAAAAATGAGTAAATGGTGACCGATGTTTTTTTTTTGGTTAACAATTCCTTTAATGCACCATTTACAAAGTTTCTTCAAAACCATGTCTGTGGGCCAAATTCGCTATACCTTGTCTTGCAACATGCGAATGACAGCATTATGAAAGACACAGTCATTTTAAAAGAATGTTGCTGAAATCTCTGTAGCAAAATGGCAATAGAATTTGCAAGTCCAACTTTCAAACAATCCACTGTAATGAATCAGCTGGCAAAACCAATTTAGCAATTTAACCAATTGAAAGGCCTCAAATGGCAATTTATATTGTTTCAAATGTTTAAATAGACATTTGTATATTGTGTTTTTTATTGGCACATTTACATGTAATTAAATATTCTACTTGTGCTAGTGAGAAAAAAAAAGTCACTATCACTATCATATCAAATATTATATTTTTTTTAAATAGTAAAACGTTTGAAAAATTTTAAAATCTTAGTTTGCTTCCAGATTTAAATTCGAGTTTGAAGCCCAGATTTTCCCTGTGTTTTCAGACTTCTGGACCCCCGGCTGCTGGGAGAACATTTAACCACTGACACACAAATCAATCATACGTTTCCAACACAACATAAAAATGATATGTCGGCTCTGGATGGAACACTGTGATACCCTTAACTCTCTTCAAAAACAGATACTGTGCGGCTGACATGTTTGGGGTGGTTTGGAAAGGCCAGTATCTAATCGGTCAGACGGAAGAGATGTCAGCGATGGTCCTCCAGGGAGTGGTTGACTTTGGATTTGTTTGGACGTTAGTTAGACTAAGTTGTGGAATTAAATGCTTAATTTACAGGCTTAAATCTAATGAAGGTTAGTTTTAGCTGGACATGTCACAAAAATAGAAAAATGTGACATGATAAAAGGTGTGGGGCAAGAGCTCTAATGTAAATATTATTATTGGGATGGGACAAATGGAGAGGACATTCATTGGAAGAAAGAAAAAAAAGTCCTTTTGCATGATATTCATGACAAGGAAACAGAACAGGAAAGCAGAGAACAGGAAAAACTATTCATCATCATGTACAATAATAGTTATTCTGTCATGGTGATCGGCCGATACCGATGCCGATTTACGGTTTCATCTGGCGCACGCGCCTGGCCCGAGGTTAACTTCCGGTCTTGTGTTTGTTTATCAGTCTGACTATGGCGCCAGCTACAAACGCAGTTAAAGTTAAGGTGATGAGTAGACTGAAGTTAGGCTCAGGTGGTTGTGCTGTGGGATGTGTTTCCCATACGACAAAAAAAAAAAAAAAAAGAAAGCTGGATGAGTTGATCAGTCAGACTACCAGCTGGTGACAATCTGGCTGAACACTTTGGACAAGATAGAATGTACTAAAAAAAATTTGGAGGACTCTTAGATTCATAAATCATCATTTCACTAAACATTCAGATTTTTAGGTTTCTTGATTGAGTTTGGATAATAAATTTGGGCAGTTATAAAATAAATATGCTTTTAAGCATGTAACTACGCTTATGGTTTCTTAGAACAGCTTGTTTGTGGCTGGTCCAAGATCATTCTAAAAGCCGGGCTCACACTGTGCGATTTTTTAAAAAGTCTTTTAGGATTGTACTTGTCAGACTACGAACATGATGATCATGTCACACTGTGGGATCTCAGTTGTCATTAATGTCAGACTGTACGACAGAAAACTTGTCCGGAGTTTTACCTTATCAACCCATACACGTTCAGTGACTGCGAGCTGCATTGCATCATTAAAAGTATATGAATGGCGGCAATACCGGCGTATTTACCGATGCCGATTCTGATGCTTCAAGCTTTAGACGGTTTCATCGGGCGCACGCGCCTGGCCCGAAGTTAACTTCCGGTCTGTGTTTGTTTAACGGTCTGGCTATGGCACCGACTACAAACACAGTTAAAGTTAAGGCGATGAGTAAACTGAAGTTGGGCTCAGGTGGTTGTGCTGTGGGATGTGTTTCCCATACATTTATTTATTTGTGGCGCTTGGCACATCAAAACTGACCGATTTTCCAAAAGGCTTTGTTGAATAAACATGAGCACGTACTGCACGTTTAAAAATCTAAACGAGGCGCGGGTGTTTTTATATCACTGTATTTCTGAAGGAAGACTATCTTTAGAACATTTTCGATGTCATTTTCATTTCATCTTGCATGTTATATGCCTGATAAAGCAGCCTTTGTGAGCTCAGCGCTGGTTTGTGTACAGCTGTTACCGGGGAAACCTCTGTTTCTCCCGATTTAAAGAACCATCCTGCTGGCAGAGAATTAATTTGCATTTTCAGTTAGTCCTTCTGATTTACGCAGCAAACATATTTTGCTTTTCCTATATCCACGCGCGGGTGGGGTAATAAAAAACGCATTCTGATTATTTGCGGGTGGATAAAATAAATCATAAATTATGCAAATATTAA